CCACCTTAGACATTCCGAATTCATTCAAACTATGCTAATTTAAAACAATTCTTTCAGTGTTCCTCCGGGGTTTTTGAACATGGACTGTTTCTTCAATTTAGTAGTGTTCGTTTAGTTTTTGTGGAAACGAAACATGTGCATTTGCAAGTTATGGATCATATCTACACTCTTTCTTCTAATATTTCTCGTATTCCAGCTGTGCGCAGGCGTTTAGTTTTTCGCATCGTGTTTTTATATATTCGTAATTTAAATTTTTTAAATAAAATCAATTGGTGGTAGTTCATGATTGTGTGTGGATTAATATCACAACACTGAGGATTTGGAAATAACCGTTTTCATCTATTAAAAAACAACACTTACGGCGAAATGTTCATTGTAAGAATAACACGTTTTTCTATGAATCGACATACTTTAAGCATTGTTGACACTATTTCCATTTGAATGAGGAAATAGCGCCAATGACTTTATTTCCAAATTTTTGTTGACTTTATTTCGCTTTTGAAAAGGTAATAATGTCAATTGACTTTATTTCGCACCAGGGTGGGAAACAAAGTCAATTGACCTTATTTCCGTTGATCTCGTTACCTCTCACCGTTTATTTTTCCTTTTAATTAATACTCAAAAAATTTAACACTAATTACACTGGTTTACAGCAAAATTGTTCTCCAGACGCCACTATCCAGTTCCTATGTAGAAGTGCTCGGTGTTTCCGAAAATCAGGTTGATTTTTTTTCTATGGATACGTTTTCTAGATATTTGCAATTTACCGTTATTCATCTTAAAGCAAAAATTGGTTCCTTTTAATCACGTGTATCTTACGAACCAATTTAAAAAGCTTAATATAAAATACGGCAAATGAAAGCCAATGAAATTCTGCATAAAGCTTCTCTTTCCGATAGGGCGTATAGTTTCTGACAAATTAATTAGTCATTTCAGCTTTTTTATTTTTTAAAGAAAAAATGAAAAAAATCAAACTTTACCAGAAGAAAAATTTAAAAAATAACAGGTTCTGAATAAAAAGTTGCAGATTAGTGTGCAAATTTAATGAATATTCCTGAGGTCTGCACCAAGTTTAGAGATTTTATTATTATGTTTTCTATTGTGGAATGAACAATATTTTTATAAAAAATTATCGAAAATAAATTAGGATAAAAAACTTTGCGAGAAATTCACTGTGCCAATACTTCTGTCCGGCACTGTATATATATCCGTAGGGTTCTCGGAAACGGCTCTAACGATTTTGATGAAATTTTGCACACCGATAGTGTTTTGGATTTTAAGGTTATCTGAATAGCCACTATCTTTCCATTTCTTTTTTTCGTAGTAATGGCACCCAAAAAGCCTGCCGAGAAATCCGCCAAACCCGGCGACAAGAAGCCAGAGAAGAAGCCAACGGCAACTTCAGCAGCTGGCTCTGCCAAAGGCTAAGGATGCTAAGAAGAAGGCTGCCGCTGGCAAGAAGCCACAATCACTCTTGGCTAAATTGTCCGCGAAGGCTCACGCCGCCGCTAAGGGCAAGAAGGTCGCCGCTAAGCCCGGTGCTTAAGTGCAAAAGGGTACAGCAAAGGCTAAGGCTGTTGCTTTATTGAAGGCCAAGAAAGCGAAAGCTAAGATTGTGAAGGGTGCTTTTGGTACACGCACGCGCTAGGTGCGCACCAACGTGCACTTCCGTCGGCCAAAGACTCTGGTGTTGCCACGCCGTCCTAAATACCCAAGGAAGTCGGTGCCAACCAGAAATCGCATGGATGCTTACAATATCATCAAATACCCATTGACTACTGAAGCAGCCATGGAGAAGATTGAAGATAATAACACGTTAGTGTTCTTGGCGCACTTGCGTGCTAACAAGAACCACGTACGTGCTGCTGTGCGTAAA